ATGTACTTGTAAAGTTTCGTATAGTCAGTTAAATGTCTGTTGAAGGAGCAGAATCAGTAGACATCAAGCAGACAGTCTAGTAATACTCAAATGAGAAGTAATTGGCATGTAGTTGCAATGCAACTTTTAGTCATCAAAATGTGCAATGGGGACCATCAAAATAAAGTGTTACCAGAATAAAAAGTGAGGTTAAAATACACAGAAAATTGAATTGCAATAACATTTCATGATATTTAACATTTCATTGTACTTTTAATATATTTTTGATCAAATATTCAATTAAAAAAATCTTACTGCCACAAATTACTGAATAACATATACAGCTGAGGACTCATTAGCCCTCATGTGAATTTAATAATTTAAAAAAATATTATAAAAGTCCTAACACATTTTTAAGATAACAGTTTATTAACTAATTTCTTATGACTAATAGCTTTTGCCATTGCCATTATAACACCAGATAAAATTTAACTAGTTATTTTGCAATATAGTGGTATTTAAGTTAAAGTGGCTGAAGTTTAAGGTATAACTAGGTTAATTAGGTTAACTAGGCACTTTACAGTAGGTTGTTCTGTAGCCAATCAAACAATAATAATTTTAAGGGGGCTAATAATAATGACCTTGGCAAGTTTGTATTATTCCAGCCTAAAGAAAACAAATAAGACATTCTCCAGAATGTAAATATAATAGAAAATACTGTGAAAAATGTCCTTGCTGTACTTGAAAGATATTTAAAAAAAAAAAAACTATTCACAGAAGGGCTAATATATTTGTCTTTAATTTTATATATATATATATATATATATATATATATATATATATATATATATATATATATATATATATATACATACATATATATTAGGGATGTAACAATATTGTAAATACCCTCATACCGCAATAGCAATTTCTTTCAATATTACCGTGGTTGTGACTCAATAAAATCATTGGTCTTTTGGTGAAAAGTTTGCTCAGGCGAATGGAGTGAATGGGAGGTAGCGGAAACTACAATTTTCATTAGCCCAGGCGTGGCCATCATCCTTTGCGGTCTGTTGTCGCTACAGATCTAGTAATGCAGAAATGGAGGGTGCTGCTAGTAGCGGCAAAGAAAAAGAGCTAAAAATGGTCGAACCTAAAGCGGGTTTTAAATCAGATGTGTGGAAGCATTTCAGTTTCTCGCTGAAAAGAAATAAGAAAGAAGAAAAGGTGACAGAAAAAAGGGCATGCAGGCACTGCCAGACTGTGCTGAAATACAAGTCGGGAATACGACTAACATGATGGGGATTCTTTTAGTCAAGGGGACTGCAGAACACAGCACACTGCTCAGAATGATGGAGACATTGACTTGAACCACCAAGAGACCCCTATCTCACTCATGGCTTGTCCTTTCGAGTGGTGTTTTTTTTGTATTTAAATTGTATTTAAATTTTTTGTTATTAAAATTGAATAATTTAAGTTCCTGTTTGAAAGTTTACAGATAGATCATTTGTATGTCATTGATCTGTTTAGTGTTGAGGTAACCTGAACATTCTAGCACTTTTTTCGAGTGTCTTCAATAGTTTTGTTTTTCCTTTAAATGATTCAATAAATACCGTTCTGTTGTGATTCGGGATAGATTCAAACAACTGAAGGTAATATCCAAATGCAGGTTTATTCGTTGGTCAGGCAAGCAATGGTCAAAACAGGTATGAACAGGCATATATGGGCAAATACAGAGTCGAAGTCGGTAAACAGGCAAAAGGTCGAAAGGCTGGCGGCTAAACAGGATAACTAGGATACAAAGCTAGGTTCAGACACGGAGAAACAAGACAGGGAGAAACGCGTTGAAATGTCACTAAACAGTAAACAAGACTCGGCAAAGTGAATGAGTGTGTGTGCTGCTTAAATACTGTGTGTAATCTAAGTCTGTGACAGGTTTCAGCTGGTGATGTAATCAGGAAGATGAGTGACCAGGCGTGCGTGATTGGAAGTAATGCATGTATGGAAATGTAGTCCTGAGGAATGCGGAAGTGAAGTAATGATGATAGAGGAAACCAGCGATCTCCAGTGAATGATCGCTGGTTATCGTAACACGTACCGTGCCATTCATACCGAGGTATTACCGTATCGTGAAATTTTAATACCGTTACATCCCTAATATATATATATATATATATATATATATATATAAATATATATATATATATATATATATATATATATATATATATATATATATATATATATATATATATATATATATATATATATACAGTTGAAGTCAGAACTATTAGCCCCCTGATTTATTAGCCCCGTATTTATTTTTTCCCTCGTTTTCTCTTTAACAGAGAGCAGATTTTTTCAACATGATTTCTAACATGATTTCTGTTCAAGATTTCTAATCATAATAATTTTAATAACTCATCTCTAATAACTGATTTATTTTATCTTTGTCATGATGACAGTAAATAATATTAGACTAGATATTCTTCAAGACACTTCAATACAGCTTTAAGTGACATTTAAAGACTTAACTATGTTTAGGTTTAGGTTAATGAGGTTAACTAGGCAGGTTAGGGTAATTAGGGAAGTTATTGTATAACGATGGTTTGTTCTGTAGACAGTCATAAAAAATAGCCTAAAGGGGCTAATAATATTGACCCTTAAATGGCGTTTAAAAACTTAAGAACTGCTTTTATTTTAGTCGAAATAAAACAAACAAGCCTTTCTCCCCAAGAAAAAACATTATCAGACATTCTGTGAACATTTCCTTGCTCTGTTAAACATAATTTGGGAAATATTTAAAAAAGAGAAAAAAATTCAAAGGGGGGCTAATAATTCTTCAACTGTGTGTGTGTGTGTGTGTGTGTGTGTGTGTGTGTGTGTGAGTCTATATATATATATATATATATATATAGTACAATATTATATTCTTAAGACTCATAACTCACAACAGTGATGAAAATATCACATTGGCAACTCACTTCAGTACTGTACCCGATTCATAACCTATTATTCTACTGCTTATACTAATTAGGCACATATTTCCACATCTTCCTATCTATTACTCTATTATAAAACACACGGTCATTGCTTGATCTGAGCCAATCCCTGTAAGAAAATAAATGACTTTTAATGACATGTAAAGTGCGTGTGCAATGCTCTGAATATACAGGAAATTTAAAGGGACAGTTCACCCAAAAATTAAAATGTACAGATCATTTACTCGCCCTGATGCCATTGAAATTGCATGTGGCATTTTTCGTCAGTAGAGTATTTTTAGCTTACATACAGTCATACAGTCAAGTCAATGGTGACTCGTTTTTTTGAGATGGAAAATAAAAGCATATAAACATGTCCAAATCAATCGCTGCGGCTCCTAAAGACACATTGAGGTCTTATGAATTGAAACAATCGCTCTGTGCAAGAAATTAAACAATATTTATAACATTATTAGCTTTAATCCACAGCCTGGGAAAATAGTTCCCCGAATGCATGAGTGTTATTAAGCTAATAATACTGTAAATTATGCTCAATTTCTTGCACAGAGTGATCGTTTCTCTTCGTTAGACCTCTGTGTGTCATTAGGAGCCAGTGGGATTGATTTGAACTTGTTTCCATGTGTTTATTTTTAATGTCAAAAACGGGTCACCATTGACTTGCATTATACAAATGACCAAAGATCACAAATTCAGCTTAGAATATTATTTTTAAAGTGCTGTATGTGAGTTTTTGACTCTTCTAAAGTATACAAATACCATAACATGTACAGTATATATTGCATATATTTAAGAAACATGCTAAGTGCACTGCAAAAAATGCTTTTTTTAGCATGTTTTCTTTTTTTGTAGTTTCTAGTCCAAATATCTAAAAATCCTTAAATTAAGAAGCATTTTCTAGACAAGTAGCTCCCAAAATTGGGGGTCGGGACACCTTGGGACACAATAAGTGGGGTCACTTGGTGATTTCTAAAAATATCATATATATATATATATATATATATATATATATATATATATATATATATATATATATATATATATATATATATATATATATTTTTTTTTTTTTTTTTTTTTTTTTTTTTTTTTTACTATTGGAATTACCATATTTTATCCATAACCTGAAGAAGATAAAACTATTATTCAATAATTACATAAAAAAAAACATGCAAATAAAAAGTCATTAGCCTTTCAATTATTTTTTGCATTGGATTGTGACCCTTAGGGTTATTATGCTAGATTTATGACAGCAATAGTGTTAGTTGCAGCAGATTGACACCTTTACACATGTACATTAAAAATAAAGACCACGACTGAACATAGAGACTCCAAGTGCGACCTCCAAAATTAAACCAAGAATAGTCTTGTGCTGTAAACATCGTGCCTACCATTCTCATTAAATGAGGTTAATATTAAATAAAACAAAGAATAATTTCTTCTTTCTTTTCAGCTTAGTACCTTTTATTAATCAGGGGTCCCCACAGCAGAATGAACCGCCATCTTATCCAATATATTATTTTTATATGTTTTTTAAAATATATTTTTCATAACATATTATTTATATTTTACGCAGCGGATGCCCTTCCGGCGCCAACTCATCACTGGGAAACATCCACACACACTCATTCACTACGGACAATATAGTCTACTCAATTCCCCTATAGCGCATGTGTTTGGACTGTGAGGAAACCAGAGTACCCAGAGGAAACCCACGCCAACACAGGGAGAACATGCAAACTCCACGCAGAAACGCCAACTGACCCAGCCGAGGCTTGAACCAGCAACCTTCTTGCTGCGAAACGAATGTGCTACTGACTGTGCCACCGTGCATCCAGAGGAATAAGCTCAATAAGCTCGTTTATACAGTTCCTACTAGTGGGCAAAACGAAGAACAACATTGTTTTGCTTACCCCATTGTCAGATTATTTTGCCTATTTTAAGGAAAAACTTAATACGAGAGTTTTTTTGCTTCTTGATTTAGGAATTTTTAGATATTTAGACTAAAAATAAGACAAAAAAAAAAAGAAAAGCATTTATTTTGCAGTGTGAACAGACTTGTTTATCTGAAAAAACAATGTTAAAGTCAGTTATTATACTTTGGAAATGTGAGTTCCATGTTGAAATATATGTCTTGGTCTCTTTAACCAGCCCACTACCAGTTTACCCAACTATATTTCAGCACAATAAAAGGGCCAGGTGAAAAAAAAAACTTTCCTATATTTTGAATTTGGACTGCAATACCTAATTAACCGCTAGATGTCAGTCCTACAAACTGCACTTTTAATGTTCTACTGACGAAAAGAAGTCATCTTCAATAGCCTGGAATGTGAGTAAATTAGCTGTAAATGTTAATTTCATGCGTGAACTATCCCTTTAACCTGTATGTGTAGATTTAAAAGCCCTCATCTGTGTCTCCGTTCTGCTGGAAGGTAGAGTCGTTCTCCAGTTCTGGTGAATCAGTGAGTGCGTGGTCCTCAGATTCTCCATGTTTGGTTCTGATTGGGACTGGAAGTTGTTCAGAATGGAGCAGCTCCTCTGGGTCGAGCTTTCCTTCCGAGTTCACTGGGGCAGAGCTACGAGGACGGGCTGATTTAATCCGCAGCCTGCGCTTCAGGTCCTCCTCTCTCTCCTGAAAACAGAAGATTATGCTACGAATGAGTGCAACAAAAGTAAAAACGAATTATCTGATTCCTAATTTGTAATTTATAGTAAATACCAGTGTTTTTGAACAATAATATAGCAACTAAAGGGTGTTATCCTGTATAAATTGTAGTATGAAGCCTAACACTGTATATTTACAGTGTTATTATTCTCGGCCAGACCTTAAATCAACCTAATAAAGCAAATAAATAGATAGGTATGACTGGTGATTGCTGGTGTTTGTGCTTCACCTTTCTCCTCTCCTCCACTAGTCTCATCTTCATCTCGATGTCCTCTTTTTTGGTGATCTCTTGTTCTTTGCGTGTTTTCAGAGACTCCAGCCGAGCGGGTGGTCTGCTTCTGGCTTTCCCAGTGTCATCCATCTAACACACACACACATTATTCATATTTGTCGCAGTGTAACAAAAACAATTGTGCAAACACACACACTACATGAACGCTCTAATAAAAGCAGGATATTTGTACAAAGCACTGACACATTCATTTTCCAGTGGATTAATCAACTATAGATCATTACTAATCTAAATAAACAGGACATTGACACAGTCATGAGAGTTATTTTGGAATAATGATTGGCTAAAGATACGATCACATGTATCAGACTGTAATTTGACTGTAAAAGCTTGAGAATGCTAAAAAAGATATGAAGAAACCCCCATAGCAAAATTTATCTGGCCCAGATCTGGCCCACACCATCAGCATTTGCTTGGCCCACATGCCGCAGTGAATTACGGTACATGACTGGACCAAGTCTGGCTTCAATACAAGAGGCAAGTGTAATGGAGGCAAGCTAGTGAGTGCTGTACAGGTAAACCTCACTCCTCTGACGTCTAAAGGTGCTCTAGCGACAGACACTAGAGGCCATGGTCTTTAGCTGCCTTGGTAGAGCAACCGACTTCCATGCGGCAGGTTGCTGGTTCAATACCAGCTCGGATCGGGTTGGGTGGAGTGAAACCGGTGGCATTACATTGGTGCCGTGACCCTGATGGGAGTGAGGTTTAGGGAGGTGAGTGTAGCGGAGGCCAGCTAGTGAGTGCTGTGAAGTTAAACCTCACTCCTCTGACCTTTAAAGGTGCTCTAGCGACAGATGCTAAAGGCCATAGTCTTTAGCCTCCTTGTTAAAGCAACCAACTCCCATGCGGAAGGTCGCCGGATCGATGCCAGCTCGAAGCGGGTTGGGTGGTGTAGGACCGACGGTGTTTCACAAACATAGACTATATCTGGGCCAAGTCTCAGCCAAGTTAATAACCCATAACTGGGCCTGAACTGGGCCAGATATATAGATGTGTCACTGCAATGTTTTTTTATAAACCCATGAAGATTTCGCTTTATGGCTGTGCTTTTTCATGAAACGACCTGATTGGAAGAACTTTTTCTTTACTCAAAAATAATTTAAATGCATTTTAAAAGTGGGTCAAACTTACGTGGCCCACATATACATTTTGTACATCTGGGCCAAATACTACATTATATCTGGCCCAAGTCTTGAGTGCCGGCCTGTATGACGATGCCACCTCAGCCAAACCTGCCGAATGCCAGTGCCGGACGAATGCCTGCTGTGCCAGCTTTATGCCAAATCTGGGCAAGAATTCTCTGCTACCTGGGCCACCTTCCAGCTGTAACCCAGAACTGGGAGACCCCCATAAACATTCATTTTGCACTCATACACTATGACCAATTTAGTTTATTCAATTCCCCTATAGCAATGGTTCTCAAAGTGGGGGTCGGGACCCCCCGAGGGGTCGCGGGACAATGAAGGGGGGTCGCCTGGTGGTTTCCAAAAATCTATTTATTTTTATTAAACCATAAGAATTACCATATTTATCCATAACCTTCTGAAGAGAAAAAAATAGTCGTTTATACCATATATAGTTACTATAGTAGCTTATAGTTACTACTTCTATTGGATTGCAACCCCTGGGGTAATTGCATTGTATTAAAGACACAGCAATAGTGCAGATGCAGCAGATTTCATAACACCTGGTTAAACTTTGTGGCCCATTTACAACTCTCATACATAAAATAAAAATTAAAAGAAGAATAGACTTGGGTCCATTGGTGTGTGTGTGCCATTGCATGCAAGGTATCTGTATTTATAACCACCTCAGAGAATATTGGGGGTCACGAGTCACTGGCATTGTCATTTTGGGGGTCGCGGCCTGAAAAGTTTGGGAACCCCTGCCCTATAGCACATGTGTTTGGACTGTGCGGGAAACCGGAGCACCCAGAGGAAGCCCACGCCAACACGGGGAGAACATGCAAACTCAACACAGAAATGCCGACGGACCCAGCCGGGACCAGCGACGTTCCTGCTGTCAGGTGACAATGCTAACCACTGAGCCACCGTGTCCCCATTATATACATTTTATTAAACCATAATACACAACAAATGTGATGTATAAATCAAACAAGTTAAATATAAATAAATAAATAAAATAAAAAAATAAATGTAAAAATTTAAATGGAAAGAATAATTAAATTAAATTAAATTAAATTAAATTAAATTAAATTAAATTAAATTAAATTAAAATAAAATTAAATTAAATAAAAAAAATAAATAAAATAAAATAAATTAAAATTATTTTTTTACAGTCTTGCCTTAAAGGGTTGATTTCAGATGGTAAAAAGTTAATAATTAATAAATCAAAGCAGCAATATGTAAATCTTGCATATTTAAAGAGTGAAACATGCCAGCGCTCACCATGATGTTGTAGGATTGTCCACTTTCTCCGTGTTTGGGTTGAGCTGGAATGATTCCCTGAGCCAGAAGCTGTTCCAGGATCTCACTGGACTCAGGTCTCTCCTCGCTGTGTCCTGGGGTCTGGGCTGCATTTCACACAACATTCCAGACGAAAATGAATATTAGAGTTATTTTTATTTACTATATCCTACTTTTATACGATTTAACTTCCTCCATATTTTTAATTCTTGATCAATCGTGTGTGTAATGAGTTACTAAGTATCAACTAGTTACAGTAATTAAATGTCATAAGCACTGGAAGAGTAATTTAAGGGATTACCTTTGCCTTTTAGGCAATTTAAATAAGTAAACAAGCTTTAATTAGCAAACAAGCTTTAATGAGCAAACTTTAAACTGTAATAAATACTTTAGTTTTTTACTATAGTACACCCTTTATTGTACTACAGAAACAGCTTATCCTGTTAACCTTGCAGTTGTGGTAGTAGTCTAGGTACAGTTCCAGGTAGACCTGCCGCCTCTGCCGCATCCAGACTGACTCCACTGTCTATGGTCATTTTGGAGATGGCGGAGTCACCACGCGATCCTCCCTGAGCCACATCAAACTGTAGAGTGTCCGTCTACAAAACAACACACACATATCAGTGTGCATATTGTAAAACATTGACAGCCTAAGTGGTTTACTAGGTGTGTTCTTGTGATGCAGTGAGGCTGGTTGGAGAAAGATTTTGGATAAGTAAACCAGGTTTAAATTAGCAAACTGGTTTTAAATTAGAAAACTAGCTTTTATTAACAAACATGCTTTAATTTAGCAAACAGGCTTTGATCACACTGTCTTTAAATGAGCAAACTAGCTTTAAATTAGCAAACAAGCTTTAAATGAGTGAACTGGCTTTAAATTAGCAAACAAGCTTTAAATAAGCAAACTAGATTTAGAGATTTAAGATTAATAAATGTCTTTAAATTAACAAGCAAGCTTTTAATAAACAAACTGGCTTTAAATTAACAGAGAATCATTTAAGCGAGCAAACTAGCTTTAAATTAGCAAACTGGCTTTAAATTTAAAAACTGGCTTTAAATTAGCAAACTGGCTTTAAATAAAAAACTAGCTTTAAATTAGCAAACTAGCTTTAAATTAAGAAACTGGCTTTAAATTAAAAAACTGGCTTTAAATTTAAAAACTGGCTTTAAATTAGCAAACTGGCTTTAAATTAAAAAACTTGCTTTAAATTAGCAAACTGGCTTTAAATTAGCAAACTGGCTTTAAATTAGCAAACTGGCTTTAAATCAAAAAACTAGCTTTAAATTAGCAAACTGGCTTTAAATTAGCAAACTGGCTTTAAATTAAAAAAACTGGCTTTAAATTTAAAAACTAGCTTTAAATTAGCAAACTGGCTTTAAATTAAGAAACTGGGTTTAAATTAGCAAACTGGCTTTAAATTAGCAAACTACCTTTAAATTGGCAAACTGGCTTTAAATTAAGAAACTGGATTTAAATTAAGAAACTGGCTTTAAATTAAGAAACTAGCTTTTAATTAGCAAACTGGCTTTAAATTGAGAAACTGGCTTTAAATTAAGAAACTGGCTTTAAATGAGCAAACTAGCTTTAAATTAGCAAACTGGCTTTAAATTAAGAAACTGGCTTTAAATTAGCAAACTAAAATGAGCAAACTAGCTTTAAATAAGCAAACAAGGTTTAAATTAGCAAACAGGTTTTTAAATTAGCAAACTAGCATTAGAGATTTAAAATTAATAAATGGCTTTAAATGAGCAAACTATAATTAGTAAACTAGCTTTAAATGATCAATCAAGCTTTAAAACAGCAAACTGGCTTGAAATTAGCAAACTAGCTTTAACTGAAAAAATTAGCTTTAAATTAGAAAACTGCGTATACTACAGTGTACTATGAAGTGTATAAATATATTACAGTATTTGTAAATGAATGTTTCAGTATACTGTACTACTATAGTCTGGTTTAAAAACACTGCAGAATGTACTATCTTAAAGTTTTTGCATCTCTTGTGCTAACGTTAAAGTATAGTGTAGTATTAACTAAAAGGTGTACTTAAGTTTTACTACAGTAAACTGTGGCGTATTTTAGTACCTATAGTATAAAAATACTATAGCATAACTGTGGTGTATTGCAGTATTGAATTACCAAAGCAGATTAATTCAACCATCACTTGACTATAAGTTAGATTGGGTCAAAAGCACGACAGTATTTACTTTACATGACTAGTATATTTTAATGAGGATGATCATCAGAGTGTTTAATATTGGACTTATTTGAAATCGGAACACTAAAGGAATTCAGCCCACCTCATTTCCGTTCAGATTGCTCGTTTTCACCGGCTCGACCACCGTGATTCTGGAGCTCCCGCATCCCATGTTCGTCTCTCGCTGGTTGTGAGGCTCTTCTGAAGTTCTCGGGTCCGGATAAACTTCTTCAATCATTCGCATTCCAGCACATGATCAGAATCCTGCGGCTCGTCGTCAAGGACTCTCTGTGTTGCTATGATTCGTTGCTACAATAAATCTGACCCCGTTCCAGAGGTCACGTCACCTGCGCTGTTGCCAAGACTCAAAATAAAACACGGCTTACCTCCATTTTAATTGATGGTCCTTGATTTTATATTAAATAGAAGCAACAGATTTAGATTTTTTATTGTTATTATTTTTTTATTTTATTTTTTAGATTTGAAAGAAACAAACAAAAAAGATTTTTATTTATGTAATTATTTATTTATTTGTATTTTATTTTTGTTATCTTTATTTATTTATTTATTTTTATTTTTTATTTTAGTAATACTACCATTATTTTTTGTTGTATTTACTGCATTTATTATGTTTTTTCAGTATATCTGTATGGTCTTTTTTTTAATGTAAACTTTATAAATGCTTTGCCAATACATTTGTCATGCCAATAAAGCAATTATTAAATTGAATTAAATTGAAGGAAAGAAAAAGAGAAAACGATTTTTATTAATATTATTTTATTTATTTTTTAAATTATTATATTTATTTAATTATTTATTTATGTATTTTATATATATTTTTTTTGTATTTTATTTATATTTTTGAAAAAAAATATTTTAATTTTGTTTTATTTTATTTTATTTTATTATTTTCTGATTTAATTTTTTATTTAATTTTATTTATTCATTTATTTATTTATTTTAGTAATAGTAATATTTACTGTCTATTTTAACGTATATATTAATATATGTATGTTTTTTTTTAATGTAAACGTTATAAATGTGATGCAGTTTGTCATGCCAATAGAGCAATTACGGAATTGAATTGAATTAAATTGAATTAAAAAAAAGAAAGAAAGAAAGCAAGAAAGAAAAAAAGTAAAAAGTTTCTTCAGTCTTAATCTACATCAGATGAATGTATATTTATTAAAATGCATGTGTGTGTGTGGTTGTGAGAATAATCCACTATTCAGGCCTGTAATTGTGCTTCATAGCGTGTCAAAGGAAATTATCTCAGTGTTTGGTGTTGAAGAAACATGGAGATATAATGTGTTATAATGATGTCAAAGCATTGTTTTTTGACAGGTGCTTCATTAACATGGTGACACGGTGTCTCAGTGGTTAGCACTGTGGCCTCACAGCAAGAAGGTCGCTGGTTTAAGTTCCGGCTGTGTGGAGTTTGCATGCTCTCCCCGTGTTGGCGTGGTTCCGGGTGTTCCAGTTTCCCCCACAGTCCAAACACATGCCCTATAGGGGAATTAATGAAGTAACTTGGCCATAGTGTGTGAATGTGAGTGTGTATGGGTGCTTCCCAGTCCTGGGTTGTGGCTGGAAGGGCATCCGCTGCTTAAAACATCTTTAGCCTCTTTGGTAGAGCAACTGACCCCCATGCGGAAGGTTGCTGCTACAGTCCCAGCTCGGAGCAGGTTGGGTGCAGTGGGACTGGCAGGGTTACACTGAAATAGTTGGCAATTCATTCCACTGTGTAAAAGAGACCAAAGCTTAAGGAAAATGAATGAAAGAACAGATACATTTAATTTAATCATACTTAAACTAAATCTGATTTATTTTATAGCCAGTTTACTGATTTAGACCAAAGTCCTTTTTGTTTTCTATATTCTTGGATTGGACTAAAAAACAAACAAACAGAGGATATCATTGACAGTGAGTGAACATCTGAAATCAGATCTCTCTCCAAATGTCCAGTTTCCTCGTGTGATATCCGCCAGCAGATGGAGGTGTTGCTTCTCTCAGTTTTTTCTTCAAGGTTTAGTTTCTCTCTGCCCTCCAGTGAACATCCTGAATCTGAGCCCTGTGAATGGGAGAAACTCATACAGCGTCACGCCTTCATCAGCCAATCAGGAGCACTGAAGCAGGGCGTTGAGCTGTGTTGCCAAATCCGCATATTTACACCACAATGGGGAAAATAAAAACTTAATATTATTAATAAAATATATTGCTCAAAATAAAATTTTTTGGTAGATTAATTGCAATTAGTCACATGTAAATATGAGTTTGTTTTGACATAAGATGCGTGCGTATTATACTATACAGCTATACAAAATTTTTGCCATTGATATTAAAATTTATATATACTTTATATCATATACAATTTTTATATTTAAATATAAATAATTTCTCAAGGATATGGTGGATAGAGATATGAAGCAAATATAGGATTAAAGAAGTGATGTTAGTGAGGCCAGCAGGAGGCGCTCAACCTGCGGTCTGTGTGGGTCCTCATGCCCCAGTATAGTGAAGGAGACTCTATACTGCTCAGTGAGCGCCGTCTTTCGGACGAGACGTTAAACTGAGGTCCTGACTCTCTGTGGTTGTTAATAATTCCAGGATGTAGGGGTTTAACCCTGACATCCTGGCCAAATTTGCCCACTGGCCTCTGTCCATCATGGCCTCCTAACCCTCCCCATATCATAATTGGCTTCATCACTGTCTCCTCTCCACCAATCAGTTGGTGGGTGGTGTGCGGTTTAGCGCAATATGGTTGCCGTTGCGTCATCCAGGTGGATGCTGCACACTGATGGTGGATGAGCAAATACCCCCCCCCCCCCCCCCAATGTGTAAAGCACTTTGAGTGTCCAGAAAAGAGCTATATAAATGTAAGGAATTATTATTATTATTATTATTATTATTATTATTACATGCATGCATGTGTAGCTTTATATATACATATAAACAGTACAAACAAACAGTATGTCAAAACAAACCTTCATTTAGGTCATGATTAATCGTGATTCATCTTTGCCCAGTTTTTAGCAATGCATATCACTAATAAAAAATTACATTTTGAGGAAATTAACAAATTGCCTTCTTTGAACATGATTCTAGGGATTTTTGTAGTCTAGAAAAGATGATTTCTTTAATTAATAAGGAATATTTATAATAATTACTAATATACAGTAACTTTTCATACAAATAATGAGTTTATAGGTTTTCTTTTCTATAACTAAAAAATTCAGAAATACTATTTACAAATATAATTACTATATTTTCCCCCAATTTCTAACACATCTTAGATGATTAACTCTATATACAAAATTATTAGCCCTCCTGAAATATTAGTCCCCCTGTATAAATATTTTTTGTTTAACGGAGAGAAGATTGTTTCCAACACATTTTTAACCATAATATTTTTAATAATTATTTCTAATAACTGAATTATTTAATCTTTGCCATGATGACAGCAGATAGTATTTGACTAGATATTCTTCAGGATACTAGTATTCAGCTTTAAGTGACATTTAAAGGCTTAACTAGGTTAATTTGGCAGGTTAGGGTAATTAGACAAGTCATTGTATAACAGTGGTTTGTTCTGTAGACTATCCAAAGCAAATATTCCTTAAGGGGGCTAATAATATTGACCTTAAAATAGTTTTAAAAATGAAAACTGCTTTAATTCTAGCCAAAACAAAACAAATAAGACTTTCTCCAGAAGAAAAAATATTATAGGAAATATTATGAAAAATTCCTTGCTCTGTTAAACATCATTTGGGGAATATTTTTCAAAGAAAAAAAAAATCATAGGAGGGTGAATAATTTTTATTTCACCTGTATGGGAGTGGCATATTGTCCGTTTGTTGCGAGGATCTGGCAACCCTGGCTGTAGGCGCGACTGAATCAAGCCGCAGAAGTTCGCTGTGTTTGGGCTAGAGCAGTGAGTGATCCAGCATGGCGCCCAGTCAGGGCTCTAGGATGCTTAGTAAAGATGATGCTGATTATAAACTTCACTTTAGGATGATAAACGAGCAGCAAGTGGAGGACATCACTATTGACTTCTTCTACAAACCGCACACCATAACTTTACTAACGTTCACCGTCGTCAGCATAATGTACTTTGCTTTCACCAGGTGAGTAAACATCAGATTTGTTATGATTGGACACACCTGACCAGCGTATATTAATTTATTATATTTCACCACGGAAAAAAGACATGATATTGTTATGATATTGTCAGTTTTACAGATATTTTCGGATAAATCCTACTGTGGGATATGAAGATGTAGATGTAAAACTTTTTACAACCTACCTGAGTACATTTCCTTTAATAAATATTACCAGAAAAACAAAACTAAAATAAATATATTATTTATTTAATAAACTACCAGTTATTTGGTTTAGTTAACTTTGTTTTAAGCTTAATAAGTGTATAAATATGTTAATGTAATAAGTCCTTTAATTTAGACATAATAAGCATAGATACACTCACCGGCCACTTTATTAGGTACACCTGTCCAACTGCTCGTTAGCGCAAATTTCTCATCAGCCAATCACATTGCTGCAACTTAATGCATTCTGGCATGTAGACATGGTCAAGACGATCTGCTGCAGTTCAAACTGACTTTGAATGTGTCATGGTTGTTGGTGCCAGATGGGCTGGTCTGAGTCATTCAGAAACTGCTGATCTACTGTGATTTTCACGCACAACCATCTCTAGGGTTTACAGAGAATGCTCTGAGTAAGAGAAAATATCCAGAGAGCGGCAGTTCTGTGGGCGCAAATGCCTTGTTGATGGTCATAGGAGAATGGCCAGACTGGTTCCAGCTGATAGAAAGGCAACAGTAACTCAAATAAGCACTCGTTACAACCGAGATCTGCAGAAGAGCATCTCTAAACACACAACACGCCCAACCTTGAGTCGGATGGGCTACAGCAGCAGAAGACCACACCGGGTGCCGCTCCTGTCAGCTAAGAACAGGAAACTGAGGCTACAATTCACACAGACTCACCAAAACTGGACAATAGAAGATTGGAGAAACGTTGCCTGCTCTGATGAGTCTCCATTTCTGCTCACACATTCAGATGGTCGGGTCAGAATTTGGTGTCAACAACATGAAAGCATGGATCCATCCTGCCTTGTATCAGCGGTTCAGGCTGGTGGTGGTGGTGTAATGGTGTGGGGGAGATTTTCTGCACACTTTGGGCTCATTAATACCAATTGAGCATCGTGTCTACGCCACAGCATACCTGAGTATTGCTGCTGACCATGTCCATCCCTTTATGAGCACAGTGTCTCCATCTTCTGATGGCAGCAGGATAACACCATGTCATAAAGCGTGAATCATCTCAGACTGGTTTCTTGTACATGACAATGAATTCACTGTACTCAAATGGCCTCCACAGTCACCAGAGCTCAATCCAATGGAGTGCCTTTGTGATGTGGTGGAACGGGAGATTGGCATCATGGATGTGCAGCCAACAAATCTGCAGCAACTGTGTGATGCTATCATGTCAATATGGAGCAAAATCTCTGAGGAATATTTCCAGTAGCTTGTTGAATCTCTGCCATGAAGGATTAAAGCAGTTCTGTAGGCAAAAGGGGTCCAACCTGGTACTAGTAAGGTGTACCTAATAAAGTGGCCGGTGTATATTTCTATTGTCATTAATGTAATATATTCACCTGTCTATGTCAGTTATTATAGTCAACAAACTAAATCCATACCAAAATCACTTGAAAAGTTTAAACTAGTTGCTAATTATGGGAACATTTACACTGTTTAGTTTAATATGAGGTTTGTTATGACTGAACACACCTGACCCGCATCTATTAATTTATTATATTTCTCCACCAAAAAAAGTTATTATGTGTGCCACAGTGGTGCAGTGAGTGGCACAATTGCCTCCAAGCTAGAACGTCGCTGGTTCGAGTACCGGCTGGGCCCGTTGACATTTCTGTGTGGAGTTTGCATGTTCTCCCCATGTTGGTGTGGGTTTCCCTCACAGTCCCCACATAGGTGAATTGATTAACTGAATTGGCCGTAGTGTATGTGTATGTGAATGTAAGTGTGTATGGGTGCTTACCAGGACTGGGTTGCAGCTGGAAGAGCAGTCGTTGTGTAAAACATATGCTGGAATAGTTGGCGGTTCATTCCGCTGTGATGAATAAAGGAATTACCCCTAAGTAAAATGATTGAATGAATGAATTCAGACATTATGGGCATAGATGTGTTGCCTACTCTGCTTTAATTATTGCTAGTGACATTTTATAAATCACTTGAGAAGTTACAGCTAAGGGTAAATTTAAAAGGTTCAGTTTAACTTGACATGCTAATAGCTTTCAGTGACTAATTTTGAGGGGGTTTTTTAACCAGAAAAATCGAACCTATTATAAGCTCAGATGTGTTGCCATCTCACTTTTGCTTTAACAATTTTTATTAATTTATTTTCCTTCAGCTTAGTTCATTTATTTATCAGGGATCTCCACAGCGGAATGAACCGCCAATTATTCCAGCATATGATTTACGCAGCGGATACTCTTCCAGCTGCAACCCAGTACTGGGAAACACTCATACATACTCATTCACACACACACACTCATACACTACAGCCCATTTAATTAATCCAATTCACCTACGGCACATGTCTTGGACTGTGGGGGAAACACAGAGGAAACACGGAGAGAACATGCAAACTCCACACAGAAATGTCTACTGGCCCAGTCGGGACTCAAACCAGCGACCTTCTTGCTGTAAGGCTACAGTGCTAACCACTGAGCCACCGTCCCACCATAAAACCTCATTGTAAAGTGACCAATAGTTTTAAATTCAAGTATCTACAGCTGATTAGTGTTTTGTGTCATCAAATGATTTGTATTCTGAATACTCCTGGTGTGTTAAAGCTATTCCCCAATAAGGTGTGAGGACAGTGAGTCTGGTGACACTGTGAAATGTTATAGTTTAATGACGCTATCGTCACGGCTCTGATATGTTATCAGTTCCTCATGTTTTTTATTGTGGCAGGGACGATGGAGACTCTGATAAGAACCTGCGTGTGGGCTTGCTGCTGGTCGTCTCTTTCTTTCTTGTTATCAGCGTTCTTGCCTTTCCCAACGGTACAGTCATTTATCAGTAGAAACAAATATTGTAACCGTCTTACACTGAATGCTTTTGTTAAAGAGGTCATGTTTGAGCACAGTTGTGTTTGAATATATCCAGTCTTTACTGGTAAACATTAATTCATTCTGTTTTTATAATCAGACTTGATATAAACAGTCTGCAGAAACACTTTGATTGACATTCTCCCTTTGTACGTGTCATCAGAGGGGGAAAGCCCCGCCCACTGGTGACCATCTCTCCTTCATTAGCATAGGGCATTAGTCTTGTTTTTAAATCTGCCACTATGCTGACACACAGGCATTTGTAGCTCCGCCCTCTTTTGAAAATAGAATCTCATTTGAGTTTAAAGCGACAGTCACCAAAATGCCACAATTTGACTTAAAAGGGTCAGTTTCAGAGAGTTAAGCAATATTCGTGTGGTATTTTGAGCTAACAGTTCACATACACTATCTAGAAACATCAGAAACTTATTTTATTTCATGTTAAATGGCCTAATTTGTCCCGTTTAAATTAGTTTAAAAAAGTGGTAATGTAAATTGGAAATTGCTGCAGACTTTTATTCCAATGTAAATATGTATTTACTACTGAAACTGAATATTGAGTAGGGGGCGGGGTTTATTCATGTGCCCCTCCTCTCATTTCCATGTTAAACAGAAATTGCTGCAGACTTTTATACCAGTTTATGTATTTACAACTAAAACTGAATATTGAGTAGGGGGCGGGGTTTATTTATGTGCCCCCCCCTTTCATTTAAATAAAAAATTTATGAGAAACAGAAGTTACTGCAGACATTTATATCAGTGAGACTGTATTTACAACTGAAACTGAATATTGAGTAGGGGGCGGGGTTTTATTTTTGTGCCCCTCCTCTCATTTAAATAAAAACATTCCATGAGAAACAGAAGTTGCTGCAGACATTTATACCAGTGTGATTATGTATTTACAACTAAAACTGAAAATTGAGTAAAACATATGCTGGATAAGTTAGCGGTTCATTCCGCTGTGGCGACCCCAGATTAATAAAAGGACTAAGCCGAAAAGAAAAGTAATAAATGAATATTATATTACATTATAATAAAAAGCATTAATAAATGTATTCTGGCGTATGTTCACTTTTAGGAAGGTTTCTATGAAAAATTTTTGAAATGAGATCCCAGTAATTAATACAATAGCAATAACAATAAAAATATTAATGCAATAAAAAAATTATTATTAAAATCATTATTAAAATTATTATTATTATTATTAAAATTTGTAATGAATTTATTATTATTAATAATTATTATTATTATTAAATTTATTTTTTATTATTATTATTACATTTATTATTATTAAAATAATAATATTAATAATAATAATAATTATTATTATTATTGAAATTATTATTACTATTAATATTATTAATATTAATAATAAATTATATACATTTATTTATGAATATTATATAGTTTGTTTTATAAATAAAATATTTTTAATGATTATATGTATTTAATAATTAAAACTTTTTCTAAAAAAAAATCCATGTGACTTTCAGGTCCTTTCACGCGTCCTCATCCCTCTGTATGGCGCATGGTGTTTGGTGAGTGTGTTAAATCTTTCTTTTGTCTTGTCTTTTCATCTGCTCTGTTGATATAACCAGCAGTATTTTGATTTATTGGTTTATTTTTAGGTCTCAGCGTGCTTTATTTCCTCTTTCTGGTGTTCCTGATCTTCCTGAACTGGGATCAGGTGAAGGCGCTGTTGTATTGGCTCGACCCAAATCTGCGTTACGCCAAACGAGAAGCAGATGTGATGGTGAGCAATCCCGTGTCTCAGGACAGAAACTGATGTCTAGAATAAAGATTTCACATGACAGTAAAGGAGTATTTTGAGCCTGCACTGTGATCCTAAAATAGAGTCTTTTAATGTGATATCAAAGGATTCTTGTGCTAAAAATGCCTGGCAAGAGCTCTTTGCTTTAAATAACTTCACTCCATGACATGCAGTGGCTGTTTTCTTTAAGTCATTTAACTGTTTATGGAGCTAATAATGTGCCAAAACAATCTGACTTTGAATTGTGTTCATTTGAATTATTGACAATTTTAATTTAATAGATCTGAATTTTTATGCTGTTAAAAATTGTTTTGAATTTGAATTTTTTAGTTTGAATTAGAATTTGATCACTTGAATATTGTACACATGAAATTTAAGACAACAGAATTTTTCAAGGCTGAATTTTTTATAGACGCATTTTTAAACTTCAGATATTTTGTGTTCTGAATTCTTAGACTGCAGATATCCAGTAGGTAAATATAGTAATTCAAATGAACACAATTAAATTTCAGATTTCTTGGCATATTATTAACTCTATAACTGTTTGCTAAAAAATGGACAAAAGCAATTATAATTGCACTTGCAATATAATGTCTTTCCATTAAGGTTAGCTTAGATTTGAAATGCAATATCAGTGTTATGTGATTCAGAATGCTCCTAATTGCAAGATGTATGGCAATAGTAATAAAATTATTAATAATATATATTTTTAATAATAATAATAATAATAATAATAAATTATATACTTTTATTTATGAATATTATATATTTTGTTTTATTAATAAAATATATATTTTATAATTATATGTATTTATTCATTTATAAATAGTATATTATAATATCATAAATATTTATATAAAATAAATAATAAAATATATAAGTCATATATTAACTACTATATAATAAAAAATTGTATTATAAAAATATTAGTAAAATATTATAGTTATTTATAAATATAAAAATTTATTATTTAGTAATTAATATATATAATTAATATGTAATAATATAATTAATATGTTGAATATTTAATAATTATTATTATAGTAAAATATTATATAGTTATAAATATTAAATACTATTGATGAATTATATATATTAATAATAATAATAATAATAATAATAATAATAAGGGACTAATCCAAAGGGAAAATAATTTAAAGTAGTAATGAATAATTATAATAATAGTAAAATTCTGTATTATGGTTATTATTTATTAAGCTTATTGTCATTTATACTAACTGAACATGTAGCATTGGAAAACTGAAACCCAAAAATTAAATCTATAAACAATTAAGCGTGCTCATTATCACATAATCTATGACTTCCAGCATGATTGTCTGTGACAGCAAGACAATCGTATTAATTTTCCAGCCGGCAGCGGTATCAGTTCACTAGCTCACAGATTATGTCTGAGCTGTGTGATCTGAAACCCTTACTTCAGCGTGTGTGTGTGTGTGTGTGTGTGTGTGTATTTGTAATCCACTGAATTATGATTAATTACAGTAAAGAGATAATACTGGCTTTCTGTAAGAGGTTTCCATGTCTGTAAGGATGGCCTGAGACTTTAGGATTATTAGAGTCCTCATCCAACTTTTAAAAAGAAAAAGTAAACAGTGTATTGTAGTGGTGTAATGGATCACAAATCTCCCGGTGCAGATCACACTACAGGTTTTGAGTCACAGATCAGACCATTTTTTTGATTACCCAAAAAGGAGAGGAGATCAGCGTCATTTGCTTTTCATTCATTATAAAAACAATAATACTAGAAACCTTTATTTTTAACAAACATAGCTTAGAACCTGTAATTTTAATAAAATAAAAAATTTAAGTCAAGAAATAACTAGTTGGGTTGGCATGGTGGCTCAGCGGTTAGCACTGTGGCATCACAGCAAGAAGGTCTCTGGTTTGAGTCCCAGCTGGGACAGTTGGTATTTCTGTGTGGAGTTCTCCCCGTGTTGGTGTGTTTTTCTTATCTGTTTCTTTAATTTAATCACAGGAGTATGCAGTAAACTGTCATGTCATCACCTGGGAGCGGATCCTGAGTCATTTTGACATCTTCGCCCTGGGTCATTTTTGGGGTTGGGCTATGAAAGCTCTGCTCATCCGCAGCTACGGACTCTGCTGGACCATCAGCATCACATGGGAGCTCACCGAGGTGATGCACTGAAAAACTATAAAACAATAACTTGCAATCCAAATCAATTTAGATCCACTTGTTTGGTAAACAAAGTGAGTCCCTCCTGTTGGGAAGAGGTCACATATGTAATTTTTACTGTGGATCATCAGTTGGCAGCATTAACCCTTTAGATAGACCTGTGCAAAAGAGTTTCTGGCTTTTCAGTGCATGGAGTAAAACAGCACATTATAGTGTGTGTGCAGAAATACACTTACTGTGTTTACTATGTTCTGAGAGCTGAGCTTCTTGTTTTTGATTTTCTCAGACATATCAAGGTAAGTGTGCGAAGGTCTCTCTCACCCTCTCTCGCATATCTATCACTTCATATAAAAGCCAGAAACTAAGCTTTTTTGCACTGCAACTGATAATCAACAGTAAAAATTGCACATTTTGCCTCTTCTCAACAGGACAAACCAGCAACAATCGAGAATGCATGATTATATGCTGCCATGGCTTTGCAATTAAAACATGTGATTATAATGGAAGTCAATGGGGCAAAAACAGCCCCCAACATCACCAAAGGGGAGTCAATCTGCCCAGAGTGTATTGTTGAGTTTTAAAAAAATTCCAAAGCATGTCCCCAAAATATGCATCAAAATAAGATTCATCATCAAAAATCAGCCCATTTGCTGAAACACTGAGAAATTTGTGGCCAAATTAAGACACAAAATCACCCCAGAGTGGATGAAAACACTACATATAGGCTACATAACAATAAAACAATAATCTGGACAAACTAAAGAGATTTTGCAAACGTTTAACCATGGCAGAACCCCAACAATTAGAAGAAGAGAAAGGCAGCCAGGCAAAGATATACTAAAAAGGATCAATAGAAATATTAATTTAGAATCATGGATGACTTATTTAAGCGCAATAGCCTAAATAAATGTCATAAAATAATAATATTAATAATCATAACAATAATAATTTAAATAATGAAAATATAAAACCTACCCAAATCCTGACATAGCTGCGTTTAAACAGCGCAAACAGTTCATAGTCTAATAACCCCGCATGATTGCTTATGCCATATGTTAGACGGTTCTGTATGAATAACTGAAGATGCTCCTTTAATGCATTCGCACGTTATGTTAAATTATTTTAAATTACACGTCATGCCCAACCTTAAATCATACCTCCTGAACACTCTGTTTAACAGTTCCAAGTAAACTTACGTGCATGTGAATTTACGTGCTGTATTTTGCGTGTTTTGCTTTGTATGAATGAGGTAAACGTGCAGCCCCGAGTAAACATGGTGACGCCCACCTCCTGTTATAGATCACGATCACTTACACGCTTATGTAAACTGGTAAACCTTCTGTTTGAGATTATATCTCATTAAGATTATTTTTCTTACCCAATTCACAAATAACTTGTTTTAAGCAAACAATCACTTTATTTTGAGGTGTTATTTTATCAGAAAACAAGACATAATTTATTATGCTTGTTCATGTGTCTAGTATGTGTCATGATTTAAAAATATTTTGATATTTGGATTGAAAACAGGACAAAAATACTTATTTTTTATTTTATTATTATTATTATTACTATTATTATTATTACTATTATTATTATTATTATTATTATTATTATTATAACAGCTCAGGGATGAGCTGTTTTGATTAAACGGTTGGAAATTAATGTTTTTTTTATCCGATTAATCGAAAAATAATCGACAGATTAATCAAATTTTTAAATAATCGTTAGTTGCAGCCCTATTTGTGTGTGCATTATGAGGCTTAATATCAAGGGGCTGTTCCATAAACCAAGCTTACAGAAAAAGCCAGGCTTATTTTGGTAAGTCAGGTTTATTAATGGCGGATTCGGTTTCATAAATCAAATTTACGATAGTTTAAACTTAGTTACCCTGGCAACTTATGCTGGGAAACTAGCCTGGTCCGGGGCAGACTAACTCTCAGGCTAAGTCTTAAGTTCAAGCCTAATCAAAGTAATGTTAATATTCACCTGCCATATTCTGATGCCATTTTAGTTCACTTAACCTCTTAATAATGATTAAAACTTTATGGTCACTTAATAGCAAAAAAAAAAAAAAAAAAAAAAAAAAAAAATATATATATATATATATATATATATGTATATATGTATGTGTATATATATATATATATATATATATATATATATATATGTATATATATGTATACATATATATATATCACTTTAATGTAAAGATATTTTCCCACGGGCTGCGGGAAATAAGTGGCAAAGGGAAAGCAATGGTTTGCATCAGATTCGGGAGCAAATTAAAAATCCCTCCAGCTCTTTGTTTATTTTAAACCTATGTGCTTACATTTAGAACATTTTGTATGTTACAGTGAGCCTGCAATGCATTAAAACTTTTCCTTGCAAGCAACAATTGGCAGTAATAAGCGCAAATCTTCTCTCTCACGCACATGCGCATGGTCAAGCACAATTACTATGTTTTATAACAAATATTTAATTTCATGTTAATAGGCCTAAATAATAGCCTATATTTAAAAAGTATAATGCTACAATTGTAGCCTGTTGAACAATCTGCAGTTTCGCGGCTTACTCGCTGTGAACAGCTGTGTCTCATTTCAGAGCTTTCAGTTCTCGAAGTTGCCATGGTAGCACACAATATTATCGATGTATCTATGCTCGACTTTTAACTAATTTAAGAGTGGACGTGTAGTTCAGCTCATTGAAGTCAGGCTTTTGACTTTAATCCCCGCTTTTCTTAACCACTTTTATGAAATAGCCCCCAGTTCTATAATATCATCATTATTATTATTATCAGGGCTTACTGCTTTATCTTTCTCTCTTTTCTCTTCTGTTTCCTGATTCAGCTGTTCTTCATGCACCTCCTGCCAAACTTTGCGGAGTGCTGGTGGGATCAGGTCATTCTCGATATCCTGTTGTGCAACGGTGGAGGGATTTGGCTTGGCATGACTGTGTGCCGCTTTCTGGAGATGCGCACCTACCGATGGGCCAGTATCAAGTAAGCTGCATTCATGCTGATTCATTCATTTTTTTTTCTGTTTAGTCTCTTATTTATCAGGGGACGCCACCACGGAATGAACCGCCAACTATTCTGATATATGTTTTATGCAGCGGATGCCCTTCCAGCTGCAACCCAATACTGGGAAACAACCATACACTCATTACGGCCAATTTAGTTCACCAATTCCCCTATAGCGCATGTGTTTGGACTGTGGGGGAAACCAGAGCACCCGGAGGAAACCCACACCAACACAGGGAGAACATGCAAACTCCACACTGAAATGCCAACTGGCTCAGCCAGGCTCGAACCAGCGACCTTCTTGCTTTGAGGCAACAGTGCTAACCACTGAGCCACCGTACAGTTCATTAGTTTACTTAACCGGGTCATTTGCTGCCACACAGACATGACACACCTAACCTTTAGTGATATCACCTGCTCAGGATGAAAGTGTGTGTGTGTGTGTGTGTGTGTGTGTGTGTGTGTGTGTGTGTGTGTGTGTGTGTAATTATTAACATGATTACAGCAGGAAATTGTTATCAGTAGTGTCACACGCCCATGTTCATACTCTCTATGATTGTGTTCAGATGTAAAGATTAGCTGTGTCTGCGTTTACTACAAACCTGTTTCGGGTTTCATTCTAGTTGGATCAGGAATGTAGGGTGATGAAGTTCATTGGGGTAGTGCCAAGCGGCAACCTCCCGCTCTCCCTCAGGAAGCCAATATGGAAGTAACTAAAACTGCGATTCATCCGAAATTCCGCTAGTCCTGGTCGCTCCTGGCTCTAAAAGGGAGCAAATTTCAATTGAGCCCACTGTTAAAATGGCCAACTTTACAGCAGAAAAAAGGTGTTTACAGCCTGGTACTAAAAAAGATTTTGGTTCATACAGCTAATATTACCCTTCATGACAACTGTGAGGGGGGTGAATTTTTTTATAACTCATCCGTTTCCTTTATATTAAGTTATATTAAGTTTGCATAATTAAGGGCGTGGCCACTTGAGTGACAGCTAGGTCTCGTTGGTCGCCGTCACGTCACCTCAGCTGAATCCTGCAGATTAGCCACAGAACTCGGCATATTTAGCGTATTTCTGTTGTTTTATGTGGCTTTACACAGTCAGTTGCCTTTTGGACTTGTTTCCTACAATTATTAGATGGCATGGCATGCTGAGTGCACTTAATTGTGCTCACAAACCATTCACGTGGCCTCCGTTTCCCATGTGAGTAAAGTTATATACTTATATACCATCTCTATACATGTATTTGTTTTATTTAAGATCATTTATCGTTTTTATTTACTTTTAGAGCTGTAATGCACTGCAGAATCTGACGAATTGATTAGCTGTAGGCTCTAGATCAGTCATCTGAAGCGTTGTCATACAGTGTTACGCTGGAGTTCATCAATAGTCTTACATTAACTAACACAGACTGTATCTGAAGTGTTTGGAAGTAATTCGCGTTTTCCTCCTGTTGAATAACGTCATAAGAACAATGTTTAGTGGCTCAATGTGTTACAGCAGTGTTTTTACAAGTCTAAACACTTTATTGATATAGTGTACAACCAAGCACAAGTGGTTAGAATACAAACGAGTCGCAGGTGATAAAGTATTAAGCGTTCTCCCAAAGTAAAGTGTGTCTGAACCAGATCCAAGCAAAATGCCAGCAGGTGTCTGTAGCTCCGCCCACTCTCCGCCTCTTTGCCCTTATTTGGTATCCCGCCGTGAGTGTGATGACGCGCGAACAAAATGTCGACGGTTGGCCGCGCCTACTTGTGGCTTCTTTTGCGCTCTTTAGAAACCTATGGGTGACGTCACGGACACTACTCCATATATTTTACAGTCTATAGGTAGTGCAGACACGGCTGTACATGAGCAATTCCAGCATTATGGATGAAAAACTCATATTAACCTAGTTAAGCCTTTAAATGTCACTTTAAGCTTAATACTAGTATCTTGAAGAATACAGTCAAACATTATGTGCTGTTATAATGACAAAGAGAAAAGAAATCGGTTATTAGAAATGAGCTATTATGGCGTCTTGAGAAAGTCAACATTCTGTTATACTACTTAAACTTATTATTCTTCTGTCTTCCTCTTCTTCTGAGACTAATTTCTATATGCATCTCCTCCTAGACCGTTCATACTACAACCACCAAACCAACTCCAAACCTCCAAACTATACTGAATTAAGTTGCTATGTCTTTTCCAGCTGATCCGACTTGCGGTTTTCTGAAAACTGCCTAGGAAATTTAGGATAAGTCCCATTGACTTACCATTGGACCAAACTTTGTAACCTCATAACTTTGCACCAGACTGTCATACAGAATTAAGGTTGGGCTCATTAAGCTCAGTCTACCAATCTGCCAATCACTGATGACCTTTCAACTTACTAGCCACACCCTAGCAATCACTTACGGCACTCTATCAACTGTCCCATAGACTTCCATTGTAAAAAACTGCCATTGACTTTACATTTGGACACACTAACAACCTACCAATACATACTAGCAATATACTAAGCATACTAGAAACATACTAATCATACTAGCAACATGCTAATTCATACTAACAACATACTAATCCATACTAACATACATACTAATCATACTAGCAACATGCTAATTCATACTAACATACTAATCCATACTAACATACATACTAAAAACATACTAGCAACATGCTAATTCATACTAAATTCATGCTAACAACAAGCTAGTTTATACTAGAAACATGCTAGCAACATGCTAATTCATAATAGAACTATGCTAACAACATGATAATTTATGCTAAAAACATGCAAACCACATAGCAACACCTTAACAACTTCCTAGAACTCCCAAGCAACTGCCTAGCAACCACTCAGAACACCTTAGCAACCACCTAGCAACATCTTAACAGCCAGTCAAAACACCATAGCAACACTTTAGCAACTGCCTAGCAACCACTCAGAGCACCCTAACAACCGCCTAGCAACACCTTTTGTGCCGGAAAATCCGGCTCCTCATTTTACCGATCCCCCTCCTCAACCGCCCTCCTTCCCTGTCCGCTTTTCACTTTCAGTTTCTTCCGCGACTCCCCAACTCTCTTCACTTTTGTCAGCGACAACCCCCCGCTCTTCACCTTCGTCCTCCCTCTGCCGTCCAATGCTGCCCCTTCCACTTTCGTGCCTGACACCTCTCCATCCTCGGGTAACATGCCGGATTCGTTACCCCGATCTGTTCCGGGACCTTGCAATTCACAAATTAAGCACTGAGGGGGGCTCATAATTCTGACTCCAACTGTACTGTATATAGGTATATATTGACTGTGCAGTCAATGCTGTTGTTTACATTCGAGTATGGCTGAGCATATGGTTAACTAAGCACATCTTGACACAAGTGCAAACCCTTCATTATTGTGTGTGTGTGTGTGTGTGTGTGTGTGTGTGTGTGTGTGTGTGTGTTCAGGGATATCCACAGCACCTCGGGAAAGCTGAAGCGGGCCGTTCTTCAGTTCACTCCGGCCAGCTGGACGTATGTGCGCTGGTTCGACCCCAAATCCTCCTTCCAGAGGGTGGCTGGAATCTACCTCTTCATGATAGTATGGCAGGTTTGTGATGTACCTCAGGAATACGCTGTAGATCACAGGTGTCAAATCTAATTCCTGGAGGGCCGCAGCTCTGCACAGTTTAGTTTAAACCCTAATTAAACACACCTGATCAAACTAATTGAGTCCTTCAGGCTTGATTGAAACCTACAGGTAAGTGTGCAGAGCTGCGGCCCTCCAGAAACTGGAATTGACACCTCCCTGCTGAAAATCCAGCTTAAACCAGCCTAGGCTGGTTGGCTGGTTTTAGCTGGTCGACCAGGCTGGTTTTAGAGGGGTTTTGGCCACTTCCAGGCTGGTTTCCAGCCATTTCCAGCCTGGTCTTAGCTGGTCAGGCTAGGAGATGACCAGCTAAATCCAGCTTGATCAGCCTAGCCAAGCTGGGAGTCCAGCCAAAACCAGCTAAATCTAGCTTAAACCAGGCTGGTCAAGCTGGTTTTAGCTGGATTTGGCTGGTCATTTTCCAGCCTGACCAGCTAAGACCAGGCAAGAAATGACCAAAACCCCTCTAAAACCAGGCTGGTCAACCTGCTAAAACCAGCCAACCAGCCTAGGCTGGTTTAAGCTGGATTTTTCAGCAGGGCTGTGCTGTAGATGAAGATAATTATGATCTAACTCAACTGGAAAAGGGTGGCACGGTGGCTCAATGTTTAGCATTGTCACCTCATAGAATGAAGGTCACTGGTTCGAGTCCTGGCTGGGTCAGTTGACATTTCAGTGTGGAGTTTGCATGTTCTCCCTGTGTTGGTGTTGGTGTGGGTTTCCTCTGGGTCCCCCACAGTCCAAACACATGCGCTATAGGAGAATTTGAGTGTATCTTTAGGTTTTGCTGATCTTTGTCCTCTTCTTTTCTCCTCCAACAGCTCACAGAGTTGAACACCTTTTTCCTGAAGCACATCTTCGTGTTTCAGGCCTCTCATCCTCTCAGCTGGTGCCGGATCCTCTTCATTGGGATCATCACTGCTCCTACAGTGCGGTAAAGTCTCGTAATAATGATTTGCCACCAATAATTTAAAGTCAGTGTGTAATCTAAATTCACAATGTTTATTTTGTTCGCTCTCATTGTCAGTTGAATAATTAATCCGTGCAAGAGGAGCAAAAAGAAAACCTTTCCCTCTACTCAATATTCAGAAAGTGTTGAAGCAACTTCAGGTTCACACAGACTTTAAAGCCCAGCAGTTTCATAGCACCAAAACTGACAATTGGTGCACACTAAACTGTATTTTAACTAGCTAGCCAGCTAATCTGGCTTCATGCATCTTTATCTCTTTAATACCTGTTGTTATAAAACAAAAGCTTTTCCAGGACATGAGATCCAGAGATCTGAGCAACATGAGAAGGCCGGGTCTTTATAAGCCAGTTATCATTTATTCATTGTGGAGTGTGATCCGATGTTGTTTTTCCGTTCTTTCAGCCATGTTATTTTAAATGTGTAGTACATGCAGAAAGTATTGATAGCACTTCACTTTCTCCATATTTTTCTATGTTACAGCCTTATTCCAAAATGGATTCAATTCATTTATTTCCTCAACATTCAACACACAATCCCCCATAATGACAATGTGAAGAAAGAGTTTATTAAATTGTTGCAATTTTTTTACAAATAAAAAAGCTGAAGAATCAGATGTACATCAGTGTTCTCAGCCTCTAAACTGAGCTCAGGTTCATTCTGGTTCCTCTGGTCATTCTTGAGATGTTTCAGCAGCTTCATTGGAGTTCACCTGAGGTCAATTCAGCTGATTGGACATGATCTGAAAAGGCTACACCTGTCTATATAAGAGCCCAGGGTTGACAGTGCATGTCAAAGCACAAACCAAGCATGAAGACAAAGGAATTGTCTGTAGATCTCCAAGACAGGATTGTCTCAAGGCACAAGGCTGGGGAAGCTTACAGAAACATTTCTGCTGCTCTGAAAGTTCCACTGAGCACAGCGGCCTCCATCATGCGTAAGTGGAAGATGTTTAACCACCAGGACTCTTCCTAGAGCTGGCCGGCCATCTAAGCTGAGTGATCAGGGGAGAAGGGCCTTAGTCAGGGAGGTGATCAATAACCCGATGGTCACTCTGTCTGAGCTCCAGCGTTCTTCTGTGAAGAGAGGAGAACCTTACAGAAGGACAACCATCTGTACAGCAATCCACCAATCAGGCCTGTATGGTAGAGTGGCCAGGCGGAAGACACTCCCCGCCTGCGATTTGCCAAAAGGCATGTGGAGGACTCTCAGACCATAAGAAAATAAATTCTCTGCTCTGATAAGACACAAATTGAATTATTTGGAGTGAACGCCAGGCATTACGTTTGGAGGAAAGCAGGCAGCATTCATCACCAGGCTAACACCATCTCTAAAGTGAAGCATGGTGGTGTTGGCATCATGCTGTGGGGATGTGTTTCAGCAGCAGGAACTGGAAGACTAGTCAGGATAGAGGGAAAGATGAATGCAGCAATGTACAGAGACGTCCTGAATGAAGACCTGCACAAGAGTGCTCTTGACCTCAGACTGGGGCGACGCTTCATCTTCCAGCAGGACAATGACCCAAAGCACACCGCCAAAACATCAATGGAGTGGCTTCACAACAACTTGGTGAATGTCATTAAGTGGCCCAGCCAGAGCCCAGACCTAAATCCTATTGAACATCTCTGGGGAGATCTGAAAATGGCTGTACACCGTCGTTTCCCATCCAACCTGATAGAGCTTGAGAGGTACTGCACAGAGGAACGGGCAGAAATTCCCAAAGACAGCTGTGCAGAGCTAGTGGCATCATATTCAGAAAGACTTGAGGCTGTAATCGCTGCCGAAGGTGCATCAACAAAGTATTGAGCAAAGGCTGAGAACACTGATGTACATCTGATCCTTCAGCTTTTTTATTTTTAATAAATCTGCAACAATTTCAAAAACTCTTTTTCCACATTGTCATTATGGGTGATTGTGTGTAGAATGTTGAGGAAATAAATTAATTTAATCCATGACTGTAACAAACAAATGTGGAAAAAGTGAAGCGCTATCAATACTTTGCATGTTTTTAACACTCATGCTTAACTCATGAATTATCATCTGGATTTAGGCAGTACTACGCTTATGTGACAGACACACAGTGCAAAAGAGTTGGAACACAGTGTTGGGTGTTTGGGTGAGTTGGACTTTTTAATTTAATTTGTGTTTAACTGAATTATGTTTATTACTGCACAGCATCATGGGTAATGTAGTTTTTTTCTGCATGAATTCTGCTATTAAAGGTCCTGTGAAATTAAAATAAAGTATTTTAGATGTTATTATCTATGGAGGCCCGGGAGGGACGTGATGTTGGGGAAAAAATTGGTGTAAGAAAAAGAAACTGGGTGAATAGAAAGTTTTTATATATAATATGAAACATGATAAGAATATCAGAATAATAAGATTTTTTTTACCGTCCTTATGTTCCCTCTGATATACTTTTAATCTTGAAAGCTCGCTGAAATTCATATTAAAATGTCTGCATTCACTTTCTTTCCATTAAAGCTATGCGTTGATCATCGCCCTTCATATGCAACCTCTGAATCAGCGAATGCATGTATAAGTGCTGACTGACGCACACACTCTATATGAAAATTTCCTTGCTCTGTTAAACATCATTTATGAAATATTTGAAAAAGAAAAAAAATTCAAAGGGGGCGAATAATTCTGACTTCAGCTGTATATATATTTACTACTGAAGTCTGACTATTGCACTCCACACACTGTCGTGTCACGGCTGCTGTTTTCTGTCAGAATCAGCTGATTTGAGTCTGGTTTTAAACAATGGAGGCTTTTTCTGTCAGATTACTCCTGCAGCGTCTGTGATTAGAGTCAACAAACCGCACTTTTGTGTTTATAAGTTTCACAAGGACAAAAAGGAGGTATTGGGAACACTTTATAATAACTACACACTATAAATCATTTATTAAGCATTAGCAAATAGTGAATTCAACATCCGTTAAGTGTTAACTCTACATTAATAAATGTTAGTAAGCAGTTTAAAACTGCAGCCACAAATGCTCTATTCTTGACTTATAAGCAACTATATAATGTGTTTAATGATTGTATTTTCATACTGAGTTAATGATTTATTTTTCATTACTAAATTAAGTATCACAATATTTACAAATCATTTGTATTTAAAGGTAGCTGAGGGTTTTTAGGATCATTCAGAATGAGTTAGTAAATGATTAATAAACTATTAAAATCAACGTTTATATGACTTATTATTCAGGCATGTCTTAATGGTTACTATGTATGTTAATAAATGCCTTTATTTGTCATTTATAAAGGATTTATACAGCATAAAGAGTCCTCACTTTAGATTAGGTCACAAAACTACATGAAGTTGAGTTATTAAAGCATTTATTAACATATTAGTTAACTATTTGTATATGCCTGAATAATAAGATATATAAATTTTGATTTCAATATTTTATTAATCATTTATTAACTCATTCTGAATGATCCTAAAAACCCTCAAATACCCTTAAATACAACTGGTTTGTAAATAATGCGATATTTAATATAGAAATGAAATTTAAATCATTAACTAAGTATGAAAATACAATCATTAAACACATTATATAGGTGCTTATAAGTCAAGAATAGAGCATTTGTAGCTGCAGTTATAAACTGCTTACTAACGTTTATTACTGTAAAGTTAATGCTTAACAGATAATGAATTCACTATTTGCTAACGCTTAATAAATGATTTATAGTGTGTAGTTATTATAAAGTGTTACTGAGGTATTTGTTTTTAGATTGTAAGAAGCTAAATTATAAAATAAAACCTGTCAGATATTGAGTGGGTATTATATTTGGCCGATTTTAGAACAAGTTAATAAAGACTGATTATTTATTAATGTATTTGTTCATTCATTCATGTTTTTGCGGCTTCATTAATCTGGGGTTATTGCAGCAGAATCAATCGCTAGCATATGTTTTACGCAGCTGATGCCCTTCCAGCTGCAACCCATCACTGGGGAACATTCACACACAATCATTCACAAACATGCACTATGGTCAATTCATCTGAACCAATTCCTCTATAGCGCATGTGTTTGGACTGTGGGAGAAACCGGAGCACCCGGAGGAAACCCATGCCAACATGGGGAGAACATGCAAACTCCACACAGAAAAACCATCTGACCCAGCCAAGACTCGAACCAGCGACCTTCTTGCTGTGTGCCACCCACTGTACCACTGCACTGCCCTTATTTATTTATTTATTTATTTGTTTATTTATTTAATTATTTATTTATTTTTAATTTTAAAAAATAGTTTATTTATTTATTTGTTTGTTTGTTTGTTTGTTTGTTTGTTTGTTTGTTTGTTTGTTTATTTATTTATTTATTTATTTATTTATTTTTAATTTTTAAAAATTTGTTTATTCATTTATTTATTTATTTATTTATTTTTAATTTTAAAAAATTTGTTTATTAATTAATTAATTAATTTATTTATTTATTTTTAATTTTTAAAAATTTATTTATTTATTTATTTATTTGTTTGTTTATTTGTGTGTTGGGTAATTTTCAGTTCAGTGTATTCGTTCTGTAACTCTTTGCATGATTTTCCCTCACAGGGCCATTGCTTTCCTGGAGGCTCTGGCTTGCATCAAATTCGGACATGATTTGTTCTCTAACACACAAGCTCTGTATGTTGTCTTTTGGCTTTTGTGTCTGGTGAGTGTTTTATTTTATTTATATATATTTTAAAGTATTATTAATGCATATATAGAAGTCACTATTCGAATAATTTGATATTATTAAAAATGCAGTTTTGATTTAAATATGTTTGCAGATTTTGAAACAGTGGATATTATTGGATGCGTTGTTAATCTACACTGACTGTGATGTGGTTATATATGTAGTTAACACTTAATGCTTACAGATTGGACCTTGTGTGTGTTTTATTAATCATACAGAGCAGTTTGACAACACACTAAAAAAAATCTGATTTAAAATATATATAATTATATATATATATATAATCCCTGTTTTGCTTGTTTTAAGTGAAAACTCACTTTATGTTTGCGTATTATTTCCAAAAACAAGGCAGTATCATTGCTTGTCTAGAAAATGCTTCTTGCTTGAAGAACTTTTAAATATTTGGATTAAAAACAAGACAAAAGCTGAAGGGAATATACTATGGAGGTCACTAGTTTTACACATTTATTCCCTCTAATACATGCTTTCTGCTGTTTTCAGGCGTTCATTACATTTCTCTGTCTGTATGGGATGGTTTGGTACGAGCAAAATTATGGGAAGAAACTGAAGGTAAATAAACGTCAATATTTATTATTAATACATTTATTAATATCAATCTGATGTCATGAGATGCTGAGATCCTCAATTAAACAATATGCATTCTTCAAATAATGCATTGCTGTCAACTAATCATTCAATGTTTACCTTTGCATTAAACTTTAAACACTTGTTTCTAGGGGTTTTAAAGGATATTGGTGAAATATAAACATTTCACATGACAAGTAATGAGTATTTTGGGCATACTTGGCAACATTTGTGTTTGAAATTCCGAGATATTTATTCATTCATTCATTTTCTTTTTGGCTTAGTCCCTTTATTAATCCGGGGTCGCCACAGTGGAATGAACCGCCAACTTATCCAGCACATGTTTTTCACAGCGGATGCCCTTCCAGCTGCAACCCATCTCTGGGAAACATCCATTCACACAGTCATTCACACTCATACACTACGTACAATTTAGCCTACAGAAACGCCAACTGACCTAGCCGAGGCTCGAACCAGCGACCTTCTTGCTGTGAGGTGACAGCACTACCTACTGCGCCACTGCGTCGCCTTATTTCAAGATGCAGAAACCAAGAGCGCAACTGGGTTGTAAATGTATGTTGCCAGATTGAGGTAAAAAAGTCTGTGAGATTTTAATATGTCAGGTGCAACACAGTGGCTCATTGGTTAGCACCGTGGCCTCACAGCAAGAAGGTCGCTGTGTCGAGTCCCGACTGGGTTAGTCGGCATTTCTGTGTGGAGTTTCCTCTGGGTGCTCCTGTTTCCTCCACAGTCCAAACACATGCGCTATAGTGGAGTTGATTAACTAAATTGGCCGTCGTGTATTAGTGTGTATGGGTGTTTCCCAGTACTGGGTTGCAGCTGGAAGGGCATCCAGTGTGTATGCTGGAATAGTTGGTGGTTCATTTCGCTGTGGCGACCTCTGAAATACAAACTAAGCTGAAGGAAAATGAATGAGTGATTTTAATATTTCGTTAATAGTGTAAGGCACAGGTGTCAAACTCAGTTCCTGGAGGGCCGCAGCTCTGCACAGTTTAGTTCCAACCATAATTAAACACACCTGATCAAACTAATTGAGTCCTTCAGGCTTGTTTGAAACCTACAGGTAAGTGTGTTGGAGCAGGGTTTGAACTAAACTGTGCAGAGCTGCGGCCCTCCAGGAATTGAGTTTGACATCCCTGGTGTAAGGTGATGATTTTAATGCAAGATCTGGCAACTTGTCAAATATGGACAAAAAGGGATTTTTCATAACCAGATTGGGCCATAAAAAAATAACAAGAGCTTCTCGGGACAATTAAAAACAAAATGGGAGTGTTGGCAGGTATGATTTTTGTGGTCAAAGTGTGATCCTGAAATGGAGTGTTTATAGATGCTGATTAGCTTATATTCAAATTTAACTCAATTGACCTTTACTTGTACAGCACTTTTACAATGTAGATTGTATCAAAGCAGCTTCGCATAAAAGATCATAGTAGATTGTATAGTGTGATTCAGTTTTCAGAGTTTAAGTTCAGTTTAGTTCAGTTCAGTGTGGTTAATATTCGCTACTGAGAGTCCAAACACTGAAGAGCAAATCCATCGATGCACAGCTCTACAGATCCCGAACCATGCAATCTGGCGACAGCGGTGAGGAAAAATACTTCACCAATTGGCAAAAGTGAAGAATTAAAAAAACCTAGAGAGAAACCAGGCTCAGATGGGTATGACCATTTCTCCACTGGCCAAACGTCTTGTGCAGAGCTGCAGTCTAGGCGCCGAAGGCTGGAATCTGGACGTCAGCAAAGACTCGTCTGTCCCTGCAGCGTCTCACGCTCTCCACTCCTCCATGACCACCATAGCAGCTGCTCAGGATACGGCCTGGTCCAGGATTATGGAAACCTTAGGATCATCTCGTCGCTGGTCTTGGATCAAATCAGTGGCGCTGCATAGTACGAGGGCTTCGGGAAGAGTATCCCCAGGTGGAAATGGAGAATAAAGAGAATAATTAGCGTAGTGTATTCGCGTAGTGTTCATAGTGTATATAAACAAGATGAAGAAACCTGTGTGGAGCACATTCATGCATCATACCGATAAGTGATGCACTGAGTGTATGCTTTATTAAAAAGATAGGTCTTTTTTTATTGAAAGAAAAACAAGGTGTATTATTACATACAAGGATTTGACAAGACTTTTTTATGCATTTTCCCCCAACCTCTCCTTCCCCTTCAAAAATAAATAAATAAATAAATAAATAAACAAAATTTAAAAAGTTAATTAAAATATATAAAAAGACATAATAATAATAGTAACAAAAAATAAATAAATAAATTAAAACTAAATTAAATAAAATATTTACACAGTCACAGAGTTTTTATAGTACAGTGAGGAAGTATTTGACATTAATGTTTGCCCATCGAAATTGATTGCATTTTCCTTATAAGCATAGACCTCTATTAAAAAGATCTTTAGTCTAGTTTTGAATTGGGAGAGTGTGTCTGAGCCTCAGATGTTATCAGGAAGGCTATTCCAGAGTTTGGGAGCCATAAATGAGAAGGCTCGACCTCCTTTAGTGGACTTTGCTATTCTAGGTACTACCAGAAGCCCTGAGTTTTGAGATCCTAAAGAGCGAGTTGGATTGTAGCGTGACAGAAGGTTGGTTAGAAAAACAGGAGCTCGATTATTTAGAGCTTTATAGGTCAGAAGTAATATTTTAAATTCAATATGAAACTTAATAGGCGGCGAGGCAGTGGCGCAGTAGGTAGTGCTGTCGCCTCACAGCAAGAAGGTCACTGGGTTGCTGGTTCGAACCTCGGCTCAGTTAGCGTTTCTGTGTGGAGTTTGCATGTTCTCCCTGCCTTCGTGTGGGTTTCCTCCGGGTGCTCCAGTACATGTGGTACAGGTGAATTGGGTAGGCTAAATTGTCCGTAGTGTATGAGTGTGTGTGTGAATGTGTGTGTGGATGTTCCCAGAGATGGGTTGCGGCTGGAAGGGCATCCACTGCGTTAAAACTTGCTGGATACGTTGGCGGTTCATTCCGCTGTGGCGACCCCGGATGAATAAAGGGACTAAGTCGACAAGGAAATGAATGAATGAATGAACTTAACAGGCAGCCAGTGTAAGGAGGATAAAATTGGGGTGATATTTACATCTCTTTTACATCTCTCTACTTTCACAGAGAATTCCAGATGACGACGGCACTTCTACTGACCCGTATGACAGTCTTCCTGAAGCTGCAAAAGGTGACGTGTTTCTGATTCAGGACTGTTTCTCAAATTACACACAACTTGTTGTTGTTGTTGTTTTATTAATGGGCTTTTTGATATCGTATCGTATTGATAGCGCTTCACTTTGTCCACATTGTTTTATATCACAGGCTTATTCCAAAATGGATTAAATTCATTTATTTCCCCAACATTCTACACACAATCCCCCATAACGACAATGTGAAAAACTGTCTGTACATTTTTATGAATTGCATTATAGGGTGTTAATTTTTGCTCTGTCCACTTTTGATGTTGAAAATTCAACCCTTTATTTTAACACAGAGTCTTTTATTGATATTTCAGTGGTTTGAAATAATATAATGTAGAGAGAAACCATAATATCTAGAGGAATAAGTTTGTAAAATAACAGAAAATGTACTGGCAGTTTATGACAAGGTGTTTATAGCGTAATATAAAACACCAACCCAAACAATATAGCACTGCAGACTATTAGTAATGTTCATTAAAGTCACTTTTTACTACTTTTCAAGATTAAAAGCTGTTAAAGGACAAATCCAGATCCCATAATGCAATGCAAAAGCAGAAATAAATGGGGAAAAAAGGAAGACATTTATCAAAAAAATACAGAAAACTGCTAATTTACGGTCATGTTTTACAGTATTTATACATGATATAATATTTGCATTATTGCTATGATCGGCAGAGAGGAGCTCCAGTAGCAACTCCAGCTCATCACGTAGAAGAAAAGGAGGAAAACACAAAACCGCCAATGGAACCAGTGGCAAGAAGTGAGCAGAAATGAACCCTGATGATCTGTGGATGGACTCGAGTATGAAGGAAACACACAGTAGAGAAGTGAAGAGAAGCGTAGAGAACATTTGAAGTAAAGCACAGACACAGACACACTTCCGTACACGGAGACTCAATGCACACCACTGCCTCTGTCTTTACAAAGCACTACCGCTGCATTTAAAGCTTTCCTACTCAGATTATGTCTCTTTTCTAATCTAAATATCTAAAATGTCTCAAATCAAGAAGCATTTTTCAGACAAGTAAAACACATTGTCTTGTTTTAAGATATAATAAGCCAAAATGAAGTGAGTTTTTCCTTAAAACAAGCAAAATAATCTTGTCTTTTGTTTTGAAATGCTTGTTTTAAGGAAAAACTCAATTCATTTTGACTCACAAGACAATAATTTTGCTTGTCCAGAAATTCCTCTTGATTTAAGAATGTTTTGATATTTGGACTAGAAACAAGACCAAAAGATCTCAGTAAGAAAAGCTTGTTTTGCCCTACAGTGCACTCGATTTATTCAAGAGCACTTGGAAGGAAACATAGTTGTGTTGTGCAGATGACTGTAAATGATGCACACTTAAAGGGATAAGTCCCTCATAATTAAAATACTCTAATGATTTATAATCACCCTCAAGGCATCACTGGAATATTTGACTTTCTTCAAGTCTAATCACATAGAAAGTCATTTTTAAACAGCTGTAATCCAGCTTTAAAAATTACAAATGGATTGTTTTTTATCTGCAGGCCAAAAATTGTCAAATAACCTGCATTTATCCATAATAAACATGTTTCCTTAAGTAAATCCATGCATTTTTGTACGAAAAATATTAATATTTTAAACCCATATAGCATTTTTATTTACATTTTCCAATCACTATTAAATAACATCAATAGTGACACTTTACGAGTGTAAATAATAAGATTGTATTAGTGCTACTAACATAAACATACAATCAACAATTCATTTATTAAAGTATTTATTCATATTTGTTAATGTTAACGGAAATTAAGCTGTTCATGTTAACTCACAGTGCATTATCTAATATTAACAAGCACTGATTTAGGTTTTACTAATACATTAGTAAATGTTGAACTAAGATAAATAAATGCAGTACAAGTATTGTTCATTATTAGTTCATGTTAGTAAATAGATAAAACTTAATTGCTGTCAAGTGCTTCCAAAACAATGACAATTGAATTTCACCATTGAGTATAACAATTTACTGAGGTATTCGATTTTTTTTTTCAAGGTTTTTCAAGTAAGTAAGTAAGTAAGTAAGTAAGTAAGTAAGTAAGTAAGTAAGTAAGTAAGTAAGTAAGTAAGTAAGTAAGTAAGTAAGTAAGTAAGTAAGTAAGTAAGTAAGTAAGTAAGTAAGTAAGTAAGTAAGTAAGTAAGTAAGTAAGTAGGTAGGTAGGTAGGTAGGTAGGTAGGTAGGTAGGTAGGTAGGTAGGCAGGCAAGTTTATTTATAAAACGCATTAAACTTTGAGCAAACTGCTGAACGAAACCAAAACACATTCTAAAACAGAGTAAAATAGCAATAAAAGTAAAATACTATGAACATTGTAACATGTTTAGTGCAAGTTAAATGCATAACCAAATAAATAAAAATACAACTGAGTAAATTCATCTCTAAGTAAAGCACATCTCTGTTTACAGATGATTTAATTATCATATTTCAAATCTGGTGTGTTTAAACTGTTTTTTTTTTTTTTTGTGCTTTGTTTATTTATTTAGGGGGTCAGCACTAAATGTTTTACTTTAAAACACATTAGAGTCTGATTTAGAAGCTGTAATTTTACATTTATGAATTTGACCTTTTTGTGTAACTTCTGGAAACTTCTATCCGTCATTATCTCCTTTTTTTGAGTTGCAGTTTTTTGGTGCATTTGCACCTCCTGCTGGACAGGAGTGTGTTTGCACATCTCTTAAAGAGATAGTTCACCCTAAAACAAAAAATGCACCTCAAAAGTAGAAGAGGACAGACTGTGGGTGATGTAAGTCATACAATACAGGTTATAAAGTTTTAAATATGGATATTTATCTTACAAAAATGCATGGATTGACTAAAGTAAACTTTTTTTTGTGCCCTGAAGCTCCATGAGGCACTTTTACTTTTATTTTTCTTATTATGGATGGATGTAATTTGTTAGACTGCAATTTTAGAGCTAAAAAAGGCCAAGGTAATTTGTTAATTAACTTAATATATTCATTTAAATAAATAGAAGAAAGTCATATAGGATGCCTTGAGAATGAGTAAATGACTGAATAATTAATAGTTTTGCGTGAACTAACCCTTTATTAATGATTCATGTGGCTTTCGGGTTTAGATATATCTGAATTGTGTGACGCAGTAAATGATAGTTGTTTATTACTCTTGTTGTTTTTTTTATTATTAATAATATTAGTGACACTGACCAAGCCCTATGTTAAAGGGACAGCTCACTCAAAAATTAACAATCAGCTTGTCATCAACCTTGTTTAACAGAAAAGAAGATATTTTGAAGAATGATGAAAAGTAGTAGCCACCAACATTCATAATAGAAAAAAAAAGAATTATGAATTGTTTCTGACAATTTTCTCATTTATTAAAAGTAATACAATAAAAATAATAATAATAATTTATCATCAAACAAAGTTAAATAGAATTTAGTTAACCATAAAATTATTAAAATAAAATTGATTTAAACAAACAATAAATACATAAGTTAGAAACAAATTAACAAAATAAATTAAAATAAATATATTGCAATAAAAACTGATTTGAATAATTGAAATAAATTATGAACAAGTTAGAATAAAAGATAATACATAAATATAATGAATGCATGAATTATATTAAAATAACCAAAACTCATGAGTAAAACAAAAATAACAATATTTGCAACCCATTAATAATATTATTTTTTTACACTTGACATATGGCCAGTGGTTTTCACTTTTAGGTGAGCTGTCCCTTTAATCTTTAACCTTAAATCTTTGCACAATGTTTCTCCAGAGTTTTGACACAGGCCTATGCATTGATTACTGTCAGAGATTATGCAAAGTGTGTGATTATAAACCACAAGGTTTTTTTTCACTATTTTTTGGTAACATTTTTTAAGTAAGCGCATGTTTAAATGTACATTGATCTTGTTTTTGCATTAAGAGCTGTTGATTTATTTAGGTATAATATGATTCAGCTCTTTTTTCCACATGGAAATGTGGTTTAAAAATAATCTCTACATTGTAATGTCATTTCCTTCTTTTCTTTGTGTTAACTACACTGTAAAAACAATCTGTTATTTAACATTTTTTGTCTTTTTCTGTTTATTTCTGGTTGTGAATATCATTATAGGATGTTGATCTTTGACTTTTGACTCAACTACAGTTTAACAAAGTGACTTGTAATGATATTTGAGTAGTTTGAATGAATATAAGCAATAATATCCAGATAATTAAGTCTGTAAAATAGCAGAAAATGTTTCAATGCAGTTTATTGGTGAAGTTTTTTTCCTTGCCGCTGTCGCCACTGCCTTACTTGGTTTGGGACCTGTGGAGCTGCTCAAGGATTTGCTCTTCAGTGTTTGGACTTTCAGCAGTGAAAATAAACCACTCTGAACTGAGCTAAACTGAACTCCAACACTGAAAACTGGACTGATGCGGTTTCAATTCACTGTAATCTTCTGTGTGAAGCTGCTTTGACACAATCTGCATTGGAAAAGTGCCATAGAAATAAAGATGATTTAAATTGCATTGAATTTAATACAAGGTTTTGTAGTGTAATATACAACACCAACCCAGGCAATTTAGCACTGCAAACTATTAATAATGCAAATAAAAGTCACTTTTTCAAACTTTTCCAGGTTAAAAGTTGTTGGAAGAAAGATCAAGATCTCATAATGCAACTCAGAAGCAGAAATAAATGGGGAAAAATAAAAACATGCATCACAAAATCCAGAAAAAAAGCTCATTTAGGGATATTTTTTGTAGTATTTGTTAGTATGAGACAATAAATCATTATTCCTGCAGGCATATGCATGAATGATTTTAGACTCGTCATGTTATTCATGACATGCGAGGCCTTTAAATGAGCGTGCATCCAATTGTTTGAAGATTTTGCCAAAACCATTCATACACTTTCTTTTCGGCTTAATCCCTTTATTAATCAGGGGTTACCACAGCGGAATGAACCACCAACTATTCCAGCATATGTTTTACACAATGGATGCCCTTCCAGCTGCAACCCAGTACTGGGAAACACCCATACACACTTATTCTCACACACACACACATACTCTATGGACAATTTAGCTTACCCAATTCCCCTATAACGCATGTGTTTGGACCGTGGGGGAAACCGGAGCACCCGGAGGAAGCCCACGCCAACACTGGGAAAACATGCAAACTCCACACACAAACGCCAAATGCTGGAACTCGAACCACCGACCTTCTTGCTGTGAGGTGACAGTGCTAACCACTGAGCCACCGTGGTGCCTGTTTTTGGGATTTTTTTGTGGTCAGAGTTGATTGTTTTCATTGGGGTATAATATATGTTAATGCTTATGTATTATGGTACCATCGTGTTTGTTTGACTTATTTAATGATTTTTGCTATCAATGTTTTATAGACCAAGTTGAGCAATATCCAGACTGACGGTGTTATGATTTCTGATCGTGATATTTTGCATCTGCAATTTTAATCATGACCAAAATTAATGCAAACTCCACACACAGAAACGGCAAATGCTGGGACTTGAACCAGCGTCCTTCAAGCTGTGAGGCAACAGTGCTAACCACTGAGCCACTGTATCGCCTGTTTTGGGATTTTGTTTGTTTTTATGGTCAGAGTTGATTGTTTTCATTGGGGTAATGATATTATATGCTTATATATTATGATACTATCATGTTTGTTTGCCTTCTATATTTATTTTTGCTTTCAATTAGTCCAAGTTGAGCAACATCCAGACTGACGGTGTTATGATTTCTGATCGTGATATTTTGCATCGGCAGTTTTAATTGTGACCAAAATGAATGCATGCTATGTCAGACTTGAATCTTCCACAGCAGTATTCTCATTTCTCATATCCAATTAATTTATTTCCAAGCCTTTAATGTGATCCTCCGCATGTTTTGTTTGTGGTTTTTTGTGTATGAATGTCTGCACTGTAAAACAAATTCAACTTTTTCACTTTCTTAACTTATTTATGCACTGCCATTGTGTACAACTGATAAATAAAGTCCTGAATTTAAGTCTTTTTTTGTGCTTTGTAATTGAGCAGTTACTAAATTGAAGTCTTTTTTTTAAGCAGTTTTACACCGCTTTTAAAGATTCTATAGTGAAAAAGTACTATATTAGACGTTTACACATAATAATCAGTGGTGGAAAGAGTTCTGAAAAATCATACTTGAGTAAAAGTACCATTACTTGCCTAAACATGTAGTGCAAGTAGAGTAAAAGTACCTGTTGTGAATATATATTAGGAGTAAAAAGTTTCCCTTTTAATAGTACTCATGAGTGGTGAGTATTATGCTGTATAAAGCTGATGCGTTTACATGTCATTTGTGGATGTGTGTGTGTAAACGTAACATTCTGTAGTGCATTTAGTTATTGTCCAGCAGGCAGACAACGTCATCAGACGCTAATAT